TAATTTTTAGTATAATACTAATTTTAATAGTATGGTCACTTTTTTCAATATAGAAGTTATCCATCAGTCAAGCTTTTGTATCGTAATTGTAAAGATTTCTGAAATGCTGCCTTTGGGCTTAATTCGAACATGGTATCTTTACCCTAAAAAAGGGTAATCACACTGTCAGTCATCTGACTGTAATCTTTTTCGTGTGATAATTGTTATGGTACCTCTTGCTGCAGCATGAGAGCCTGGAATCTGCATCTGCTTGCAGTGGTGTTAAGCTTTTCACATAGCTTGTTGTGACAGGGAAGACCATATGTCACAGCTGGTGGGTGATCCTCTGTGTGGTGTGAGCATGCAGAGGAGTCCCTGAGGGTCCCCGAGGAAAAAAGAAATTCTGGAAACTACTGCTACCAGGACGTGCCCGCAGAGTGCTGCGGGTTGCCTCTCCTATGGCTTCTCTTGTGTCCTGGCTGCGTTCTTGTGGGACACGGGTGGTTTCTGGAAGGAAGATGGTAAGGGGTGGATGGATTATTGCCAGAATAATTCATTTGACCAACAGCCCGCACTGGAAAAGAAGGTAGAATTGCTGACAGGCTCTTTGTGGCCCAAAGGTTGCAGATGAGGCAGCCTTGTCTTACAGATCATGTTTCCAGTTTTGCATAGCCTCTACAATGGCCTGTTCCGAAAAATAAAGGATGTTTTCTGAATTGCAGTTAGCCAATACATGGTTAGTAATGTTAGTTAAAATCCTAGTGGAGACTGGATACTTTAGAGTTTCTGCATGTGTTGGGACGTCATACTAATTCCTAATTTCACTTGCCTATTACATGTTGTGCCAGTTTTTATGAGAACTTCAAAGTAATTTTTTCTTCACAAAGATTTTTGTCTCCTTCTATAGGGTGGCTAATTTCAAGTAAAATAATGTTGTTTTTTCCTTAATGAACACTCATTCCAGTTAGATCAGATTTTCACCAGCTTAACAAGCAATTTTGCATCTAAACAAAAAGGGAAGTTTTCAGAAATGCTTGATCAGAAAACCAGTACTGCCGCATAGAAGCAGTACTGTTACACATTCCGGAAAAACTATTCCAGAATTTTTAAGACTGTATTTTATATTTTGATTTTTTAAAATGCAGTCAAAACTTAGAGCCCTTATATAGTTTATATAACTTCTGTTTGTTGTGCGAATTTTCAAAACCCTCTTGTTTTTATGATAATTGATAACAAACTTTGGGTTATGTAAACTTCACTTTGGAAGCAAACTAAGTGGATATTGACAGCAGATGGCAGTCTTGGGTAAATTATTAGTGTAAACCTGCCATTGTTTTGGAAAAGGTGAGGTATGGTCTTCAGTTATGTTAAGATTAACATTGGGTAAAACTTGAAACACTGGAAATGCAGATAAAGCAAGCCTGTAACATTGTTTGTACTCTATTTCAGAAAAGGGGGATTTACTTTTATAGAGGAGAAATATGCATTAGTGTGCTTCTTTCTTTCTGGAGGTTTTAAATAAAAGTGAAAATGCATTAGAAAGCTTATTTAATTTGTCCTTAATTTTTCTTTAAGGGTAGGTGGTATCACAGGTCAAATTCAGTTTAAAACTTTCCAGATAGAAAGATGTTTAGTTTTCATTTTGGAAAATGTATACTTATTCCGTAATAAGATTGTTTAATTGCATTTTTATTCCTTTATAAACAAAACAGGTCGTTGTCCTATAGGAATAATGGGCTGTTTCTGCACAGTTTCAGATGGAAAAGAAGGTTTGCTTATGTCTATATGCACATTCGTTGTTTTAAGAAGTTTTTCTTGCTAACTTACAGCTTATAGAAGTTATAAGACATGAAACAGATCCCGATACAGATGAAGTACTCAAACATTCTTCAAATGTGTCATGAGTATTTTAAATAAACTCTTCGTCTGACTTGTTTGTCCATGGACGTATCACATAATGTCTGTAATTTCCTCATAATATTTGTCCCTTTTTTTGGTGAATAATTTTAGCTGTATGGATGAAACAAATACTCAAAAACCTAGGCTGAGAGGTGAGAACACTCAATCATAAAATCTGCTAGTGAAATCGTAGGATATCTGAAGAGTGCCAAAGTGGTATTAGCTCCTTTTCCAAGTCCCTGAGATGCTCTCAACATTTCAGCTGTCATGGAGTCTGCATGGCACAACCAGACTGGGACTTCTCTGGGTGAGCTGCGAAAAGCTTGCTGCTAACTTGCCCCGGGAGTGCACTTATAAACTCTGTAAATTCAGTATGGTATGCACATTAAAAAGAATAGTTTACAGCCTTACTGACACTTGAAAATTGACTCTAGTATAAAGTATTTTGCCAATTTCTATGGTCTATCTATTGGTAAAGAAAGATGCAGGCAGCAGTTTTGAGGGCTGCAATTCTTTGCAGGTGAAGTGGCTCTTAAACACTTCTGAAATATCAGTGGTCTCACCATTCCCAGTTGGAAGAAGGATATCACTGTTCCCATTGTCCATAGGAAGGTTTGAAGCCGGTAGAGGACAAGAAAGATGTCACTTTTGGCTAATAAGTTACTAGTAAGAAGAAAGAGGAGGAAGGAAAGCTCTAACTATATTTTCGTAAGAGTTCTGGAAAAAACAATTTCCATGTGATTTCCAGGCCTCCGAGAGAGTAAAGTGGGATAAGCCGTAGTTAAGTCTGGGTTTGGATTCTTCTTTATTTCTTATAAATGTTAACAGGGTTGGAAATGTGTCTTCTTCCTAATGCTTCAAATGAAAGCACCTCACTGTTTGGGGTACTTTCCCATTTGAAAAGGTAAGTCTTTCGAAAGTTGCCAGTGCGTCTTTTGCAAATACATGAATTTCAGGAGAATTGTTCTACTGCATTAAAAACCCAGGTGGCTACACAACAGACTCCTGTGGAAGACACACACACAAAAAAGCATTTATTTTGTGTCACCTGGAATGTTTATGCTGCCAACGCCAGCGCCGTTAGTGTCAATGCTACTAATGTCACGTAAAAGGAGAGTAAAAGGCCACATAAGCGTACATCTTTGCTTAAAATTATATTCAGATTGTCTGTTTTTACTATTCGCTGCCAGGCTGAGACAGGTATTCCTTGAAAATTGATTATTTCTCCCACCACTGTTTCCAGCATACAGCTCTTACACAGCTTCTAGGGTGAGGTATGGTGTTCAGTTACTTCCGTGCGCAACATGGAATAGCCAACAATGATGTACAAAACTTAAGGAAAGATGAAAGGCAGCACTGAGAGTGTTAGGAAAATGTTTCCTGCTTTTTCTAATTTTTACAAATTTGAATTTATGGATTTACAATCAATATCAATGAAAATATTACGGTCTAGGGAAATTGCTTGTAAGTAGATTATTTGTCTGGTAACCATCCTTTCAGTGCATTTGGTGGGTAGCATGGGGACCATCCATCTTTCTTTTTTTTTTTTTTTTCCTCTTTCTCTCCTTTTAATTGAAGAAAATTCTGTATTTAATTTTTTCTAGTACTGACATTCTTATATCTTGACTTCTTATTTTACATTGCTGTCCTAACTGTAAAATTAATCTGGTCCCTTCATTGAGGAATTTGGACCCACTCTGTTTAATTCTTTGCTTGTGCCGTTGCAGGCAAAGGGGCTGATCTGAGCAAGCCACCATGTCGAAAAGCAAAGGACATACGGAAAGAAAGAAAACTGCAGAAACTCCTTCAGAACCAGATGTGCACGTCTGAAGGCTCTCCACTTGAAGCAGGAAATCAAGTTTTCCTCTTGCAAAACTCTAAATCTAAAACAAACCAACCTAAAACCATTGAAGACTTCGTTTTTGTCTCTTTACCTGATGATGCACCACACAAATTAGAGGTAACATCTCATTCAGTGTTGTTGGAGGCAAATTAAGGAAAAGTCTAGTTAAGGACTTTTTGAAATGCTTAGTTGTTTAGTGTCTGTGACTTTATGAATTATTATAGTTTAAATCTTGGAATATATGTGGTACTGCATGATAGATACATGGTGCAGCGGAGCTCTGTGTAACCACAAGAGGGTACTCTTGCACTTGCAGTCAGTCATAGCAGAGACCAGTACAGTTACCAAAATAACTTGTAAATTGATTTCATACAGTGTGACTTGAAAATGAAAGACTTAGAATTAACTGAGTGTTGAATGGTGAGAGAGATTCAGTATTTAGTTCTGTAGTATATAAATACTTAAACTATCTATGCTAATGAATCTTGACAAGAAAGCAGTAACTGTTCATAAAATTAAACAGATAAGAACATAGCTGCTCTTTATAAACGTCATTGATATGTGTTGATGTCTTTGGAAGCCGTAAAAGTGATGGTAGAAAATTTTGCTTAATATAATGGTTGCCATTAAATCTATTAGTAATATGGAGACAGTCATCTGAAAGACTTTTGGATTTTCTAGCCCATAAAACCTCCCCCCCCCTGCCCCCGCAAGCTGGAAAACTATCTGAATACAAGTATTTTCCAGGAGTTACTATTATCAATGATGATATTGGAAGTTAAATTTTTAATATTCTTTTGGTAATTATTCAAAGAGGTAGTGATGATGACTTGAAAGATTCACCCTGAATAACTGACAAGAAGCCATGAAATTGATCCGTCTCACTAACTCCTCCAGATTTTCTGATGAGTTGTATAACAGAAGTATGATGGCTTTGTCTGAACATCTTCATTTAGAAGATGCAGGGAGAATTAAAAGGAGGATGGTTCCAGCAGTGTTTTCCCAGATTATTTTTGCTCCTTACGATGGCTATCAAGTGTGGTGGGTTGGGTTTTTTTTTATTTTTTAGGGTTTTTTTTACATCAGAACCAATGCTATGTGTGAAAATAGAACCATACTGAAAATGAAGTATTTTTGAATTGAACATGTCCTTAAATATGCTTGAAAAGAAATGCACTGTTGCTCATATGACAACATTCTTTTGGTTAGGAAGCAATAATTTTTACTAAGAACAATTTTTAATTTATAGATTTTTCAAAAATAATTGTTTTATTTTTTTGTGTGTAAGGGTGATGGTGGGGAAGACGGATAACTTCCTATTACAATTAACTCATAATTGAATATGGAAACATTGTTTCGTCTTCCTCTTTCAATTTGAAAAGTATCAAGAAGTCCCCTAGGATTATTGCAAAAAACCATAGTCTTTATCTAAAGAGCACAGATATGAGTCTTCCAAATGCATGGGTCCTTGAAGTATTTTTCAGTATAGTGTGAAACTACAAGAGACGATTTTAGAAAGTACAGAAAATCTCTTCAAAATGTCAATCTGCATACCATTTGTTGGTATTATTTCCTGAAAACTATTTGTGTAGTTCTTCTGTAAGCATTTCAGCCATCTTAATTTGCAGCTTGAAAAGCTTGTATGTTATTCAGTGTAAATATAAAAGCCTTCACTAGCCTAAATTGAGCTGAAGAATTGGATGGCTATTGGCTAATATTAATAAAATTGTTAGGGCCCTTGTGCAGCAATTCAAAATTTCTCTCTGTTGTGATGTTTGTATGTGTATAAATATGTAGTTATTGCATGATATTGTAATAATGAATATGTTTAACTTCTTCTGAAGGTGAGGGTGGTGAGATCATCTCCACCAAGTTCACAGTTCAAAGCCACATTTCAGGAGTCTTACCAGGTCTATAAGCGTTACCAGATGGTTATTCACAAGGACCCACCTGATAAACCAACTATAAATCAGGTCAGAAGGTCAAATGAATTTTATGCAAAGCTCAGCTTCCCCTCCATTTCATGTGTCTTGTTTCTAGGAGAAACAAATGTGGATTTTATATCCATTGTATATTCAGGAGCATATAAAATACTGTATCAAATAAAATCAACGTCCTGAAAGTGCAAACTCTTTTGATATCTCTTTGTGAGTGCCACAAATATTTGGTCTTAATTGCAGACAGAAAAGTTAAGGTAGTTATGTGGGAATGCTATTGGGTAAGAGATGGAGAGGATGAGGCTTTTGGAGATAAATATTGTGGGCCTTATAAATACTAAATCTCGTAAGATCTAAAACCAGCTGGACACTTACCCTGATAACTAGTCTCATTGGCTTTGGTTTGAATGCTTCCGTAAGGAGGAACAAGCATGATCAGGGTCAACATGTGAGTGAAGAATTTATCACACATACAAATTGTTGGTTTAAGGTTCACAGAAGTTTTATAAACCTCTTCATTTTCAATTTAAGCCCTTCAAGAAGTAATCAGTACACTCCATCTAAATTACACATCATTACTGTTTCTTGTAATGACCAGGTGGTGTGTAATAGTTAACTGTCAGACATATTACCTCTCTAATACCATAAAGAAAAAAATTCAGGCGTTTGGAGAAAAAGTATAGGTAGCAAGAATATGTAATTGCTAAACTGGGGCAATGAGTGATGTGCCATTAAAAATAATACATTTTATAAGTCCTTGAGACTGTACAATGAAAATAAAATTTGTCGTTGATTTGTTAGATAACTTGGTAAAAAAAATAGGTTGAATAAACCGATGCTTTGAAGTGTTCTAGTGTTATACAATTTCTATTCCTTAATGAAAGTACCAACAGTCAGTTTAAGCTTAGTGTTAGTTGTCAGACTTTCCCCTGTAGGAAGATTTTCTTGTTACTATGTTTAAAGTAGAAAACTGACTTCAGAGGCTTTGAAGTGGATAGGAGGAGATCTTTCACTAGCCTTACCTTCAGAAGCATATTATCTGATTATATGCACTCAAAATAGTATGCTTGTATTTTCCTTGCTCTGAAGGTGAGGTTAGTACCTGTCTCCTTTGAGGACCCCCAGTTCAAATCATCCTTCAACCAATCAGCCACTTTATTTGCCAAGTATCAGATGGCTATACACAAGGATACACCTTCTGACTGTGGCGAAAATGAGGTACAGTTCACTGCATGCACCTTTATGAAAACGTCTTTTTTTTAATGGTGTCTCTCAGAGCGATTCTAAATACTAAAATATTGGAGTTTCCATTTGGGAGGGAAAGCATTGTGGTTTTTAGCAAGCTTCTGTTGCAGGCTTCAGCCCAGGGGAAACTGAGCTGAAGAGAGAGGTATTATGCAGCATCATAACTAAAAACCTAAAGTTAGTAATGAGTTAAGTAGAGCTGCTGTTTGTACATGTTTTCTGAAAAGGTCCGGGACTGAGATTTCCACTGGAAATGGGACAATGGTATGGAAGTGCTTTTTTGATGGCAAAAGCGTCTTGGTTTAAAGCTGCTTGGTACCTTTTCCACATTTCTCCTTAATTTAATAGGTGAAGGTTTTAAAAATCTCAGTTTTATTCACGTTTCATTGCTAAGCATGTCTCTCAACTAGAACTCACCTTTGCAGTAGAAATAGTGCAAAAATATTCCCACCAGCTGATTGTCTGAGATTCAGTGAGAGTACATTACATGTAAAAATAAAGGCTGCTTTTAAAATGGTGTTTGGAGGATGCTAATCCTAATCTAATAAGAAAAGTACCCGTAGAGTTCTAAACAAGCAGCAATTCTCCATTTCTCTGGCAGGTGGCACAGTATTTTCATTAGCGGAATTAATAAAACTGCTACCTCGGATCTGTCATTTCTATCTACTGCAAATGTAAGACTTCAATATTGATCAACTATTTAGTCAGACTTTTCTGTTCTTGAGAGCAATACTTGCAGAAGTGATAACCTAGCAAGCTGTGGCTGCTTTCCAGGTAGAATAATAAAACCACATAATCATTTCTGGCTTTAGTTCAGAAGAGTGTAAGGAGAGCTTTTTTGTGAGATCTCTGTAATGCTACTGTGGAAAGCCTTAAAATTTATTTCACTTTGTTTTGTGAAATAATAGGACTCATAACAATAAGTAGTAGTCTCTGCCCTTTTTATAATTACTGACATAAATTGGGTTAATTATAATAATGTAAAAATTGGAAACATGCCAAGAAAGATTGAGCTATTTACTAGATTTGTACCAGGCATTACCTGGTCTGATTAGGGACTTGATTTGTCTGCTATGATGAATGTATTTCAGCCCTGATGCTTAGATATAGCATATATGCTACCATGCTTTTGCTCTGAAACTCTTGTTGCTGCAGAGAGGGTGGATAAGAACTTCATATACTTACTTACTCTTTGTTTAGAATTAGGGATTTTTTTTTAGTACAATCATTACATCATGAAGAATCAAGGGCAAAATCACGATGGCTGCTGCAGTTCAGTTCTGAATAGCAGTTAGCTCTCAGTTCATCTAATCTCTGTTTGGGTCAGAGTGCATGGTTTGGTGTAGACTTGGGTTTAATCATCCGTGGAACTTTTTTTAGTCTAGGGGAGGAAAGCTTATAAAGATGCGTTAAGGACAGTTCAGGTTTCCACCACCTTAAGATGTAAAGTTGATCATGGGAATTACTGTTGAATAGGAAGGAGATGGATTTCTGTTTACTGCTAGTAGTTTAATGGATTTTTATCCTCCTCTTTTTCCTTGTTACTTGCCATAGGTATTTCCCTACTTTGCCTTTGTCTTCTCTCTCTGGCGTCATGTTTGTGCAGGTTTAGTGTAATATTCCAGGGGAGACATAAGACCTTCTCTGAAGCTTCTAGTAAATGTAAAAATGCAGTCTGATGCTGATGGGTTTTAATTTAGGCCCTTCTTTAGCACTAGTAAATTATGTTGTGTGTTCATGTGACTATCTGGCTAAGAAGGTCTTTCTAGTCACAATTGTTAGGCACTAATGCTCTGTCACTTCAATCAAAAGCATTTTGTATTTGATCCCTGCAGGAAGTAAACTGAAGAATACTTTACACAAAATGTATTTTGATGTTGTTTAGAAGTCTTTTTTTTTTTTTTTTTTTTTAAATACTGAATCTGCTTGGGAGGAGAATTATCTGAGTCACTTTTAAGAACAGGAGATACCAACTAGGGTAAAACTGATCCAAGTTATTGAGAGGGAGGGTGGAAAATGCTATTTGAAAGACCTCAAACTTTTTCTTCTTCCTCTTTTTCAGACTTTTTAATATATCATACAGACATTATGGAGCCAAGCAGTTTTTTAAGTAAAGGTAGAATGAAATTCTGTCCTATACACAGGGCTTTTTATCAGGGTAGTAACAAGTCTGCTTTGGGCTTTAAACTGGCAAACATCCAGGAATTTTTTTGCATCTAAAAATTAAATTTAGCTTTTAGTCTGTGCAAACTAATCTTTGTACAGTGGATGAACCTCCTTTTCAGGGAGTCCTGCACACTTTTGTGTTTGGAAAGTTTCTAGTTTAGGAAAAGTATTTAATTTTATATTTGGCTGAACACTTCATATTCAGAAACCTGCCTATATTTAAATTCAGAATCCAATAAAAATTGTTATGGGACATATTAACAACTTCTTTTTGGAATATCTTCTTAGATTGTTGGCATGACAATACACTGTCTGCCTATATTAGCTGCTAGACTAGTTTAATATTAACCTTATTACGTTAAAAGGCAATTTTAGGAATAGATTTAGAATTCTGGTGATTATTTGAAAATAACACTAATGTGGAAAGTTATAAAACAGTTCACAATATTAACAAAAGGTATGTGAACCATGAAGCTGATTGATTATTGCTCAATGAGTGTGAAAAAAGGCCCTCTTTTTGAACCTATGCAATGTCTATACATCTTTTCGTCAAGATTTTATATGAGAAAGGGGAATAGATAATTTCCAGGACAGAGAATCCATTGAATACTTGACACCATAGATTTCTTTGAGCTTCTAGGGACTCTCTGGTTACTGCCACTTTGAGACCAGTGGTAACTGATGTTTCAGTGCCCTTCAAGATGGTGGGTCTTTTTGAATTTTGCCTTTTCCTCCTTACTTTCTCCTCTCCTTCTTCTGCATCTCTGATGGAGACTGCAGTAGCACTAATACTAGTGTGTGTTCAGGAAAAAGAATTTAGTTTGAGATTTTGCTGGGGAGAGTCCTGCCATGCATTTTGGTGATGCAGCACTGATTCCTGATTGAGACAGTGACTTCTGTTTGTTCTAATAAAAAGCAAGGTAGAAATTTCATAAGGGAATAAACTTTTTCCAAGTCCCAGACTTGGTGTTACCTCTGCGGTGATGAACCTTGCCTTTTCTATGGAAACATCATCACAATCTTCAGTGCTGCTCTCATTGGTGAGTAGAGGATTTGGTAAGGTAGAATTAAATGTGCTATCTGCCAAATAAATTAATATTCTAGGAACAGTTTTGAGTATCTCCTTGCTCCTGGAATTAAAACCAGTTTAGCTTGCAAATGAAAATTTTTCAGATCTGTTTTTTTCTTGACATAAAAGCTACAACTATTTTCTGCATAGGCTTTTAAACTCTTGATTATCCCCTTTTCTCTTGGTTTGTCTGGTATAAACTGAACTTCCCTTGGAAATCTTCTCAACCCTCTCAAAAACCTTTGGTCAGTTCCTACAGGATTTCAGCTTCAAAACTGACTTGGTTGTCTCTGTGCTTCGGAGTGCAGTCAAGTATTGATGTTACACAAAGTTGTTGGCACCTAAATATTTATGTCAGCATGTTTTTATTGAACTGAATTGGTGTCCTGAGGAAAAACATACCAAACAATTTTCTAATTAAAGGTTGCTTCATAATACTTGCTCTTAAATAGTGCTGTGGAAGAACTGATTTTTTCAATTTTTCTCTGTGGGAACACAAAACCTTATTAAGCTGCTATGTAAATGCACAGTCATCCACTGTTTTAGTAATATATAT